AACCTTCCTCTGACATGGGCCTGGGTCCTGCCAACTCTCCCTCACCTCAGGTCCCCTAGGCACAGCAGCGGCAGGCCTGGGCCCTCTGCAGGTCAGCAGGAGCCTTAGTGGCCAAATCCAGTTATCTTACCCAAGTCCTCTGCAGTAGATGGCCATGCCCCGTTCCAGCCTACCTGTAAAAGTCCCTTGCTATGGCAGCACAGGTAACAGCCCACATCCTGTCCATGGGGAGGGGGATGGGGATGAGGCCATGCTAACGGCATCACACAAAGAGCTCCAGGGAATGAGAGGAACAAAGACACTGTTTGAGGGACCCTCAGATCAGCTGCTTCCTGAGTGTGCCCAGCTCAGGGCACACCCTGCCCCCCCTCACCTGTCTCCCCTACCCCTCAGTGTGGCCACCCTACAGCAGTGTCCCATCGTAGGCAAACTTCCCCGCCATTCCCTAGTCTTCCCAGTTCCGGTCACTCTCTGCCAACCTTGGTCAACCTTCCTTAGGGTGAGGTGGGGCAAAGCCAGCTGACTATGACTAAAGATCCAATCTGTTAAAGGAATGAAAAATCGGGGCTGGAGAGATGGCTCAGCAGTTAAGAGCACTGGCTGCTCTTGCAGAGGACCTGGGTTCAGTTCCCAGCATTTACATGGTAGCTAATAACAATGTGTAACTCCAGTTCCAGGGGATCTGACACCCTCTTCTGGCCTCTGTGGGCATTGCATCACACATATGCACTTGCATACATGCAGGCAATACACTCACACACATAAAATAAAAACAAATAAAATATTTTAAAGGAATGAAAAATCAAAAAGTTCAATGGCAGACTAAGGGAAAATGTTAGCAACATCTATCACAGGGATAGATGTCACTAACCCTAACTGTCAGTATTCCTTGAGACAAACAAATCAGTAAGAAAAGGGGTGGAGAGAGAAGTAGATGGTTCAAAATGAGACGAAACGACCTGTCTTCACTCACGAATACAATTAACTATCAGAATGGTGATAGCTGACATTTCTCATCCACTGCATGAGCAAAACATCAAAAATGACCACCTTGACAAAGAACATGACTGGGGAGTGTGCTGGTGGGATCAAAGTGACCTATCCCTGCACAGGATGGCCCAGCATCTCACAAGACCACCCACTATGCCCACTTTCCCTAGCCAGGAATCTCTAACCTAGGGATTCCAGCCCCCCACCCCCAAATAGACTCCACAACATGAAACACACGAACAGTTCCAACACTTAGGGGATTTCTTGTAATTACAAAATATTGAAAATAACTTGAAAGCCGGGCGTGGTGGCGCAAGCCTTTGATCCCAGTATTTGGGAGGCAGAGGCAGGCAGATCTTTTTGAGTTCAAGGTCAACCTGCTCTACATAGGGAGCTCCAGGACAGCTGGGGCTACAGGGAGGCCCTGTCTCAAAAACGATGAGAAAAGAAGGGAGGGAGGGAGGGAGGGAAAGGAAGGCAAGAAGGAAAGAAAGAAAACACCCCTGCCCCTGATATATGTGTTGAAGTAACAGTGGTTGGATGGACAGAGGAATGCTATGCAACCATGAAAAGGGTGAGAACGGACAGGAAAAGGGCAAAGTGAGATGATGTCCACATTCGTACGTGGAATTACGTGGAGCAAGAGAAAGAGAAAACACATTTGACAATTTCTGCAAAGGGAAGTGAAGATAAGCCAGACTCTACAGAGGCTGATCTCCTAACAAGGTAGGAATGCGGAGGTCCGGAGGAATCAGTACTTACCCGAGCAGGTCACATCACCGTTGAGCAGTTTTGATGTTTTGAACCAAGTTTGTGTTTTATGTATTCAAAGCTCTGAATGAACCAAAAGGAAGAAAAACCCCTAACTGTCCGCAGTGAGAACAAATGCACCATGTGCATCAAGGACAGACACCATGAAGGTGGGGTGATGCTTTGATCTACAAGCCCTTCAGCTATGTAACCTTGACACACAATGAAGAGGTGGATCTGTTTCTCCCCTCCCTCCAACGTGGAAGTCCCTGTGACTGCCTGGGAGACTAGAAGATAGAAGTAAGGCGGGGCCAGCTCTGGGAATGTGCCCGGTAGCCTGGCAGCCCCCACCTCCTCTCCCGGAGCCTGAGCACCAATGAGAATTCCACGTTCATTTGCTAGAGACAGAGTCACAGCAAGGACTCAGGGCATTAGACGTGGCAGACTCATTGGCCATCCATCCAGCCATGTGGCCTCAGCCTCCGTGCTCCAGCAGAAGGGTGCTGGGCTGAGTACAGGTGAACTTGACAAGGTGGGTATTCTTCCTCTAAGGGTCCAGTCTGAGCCCTCACACATGTTGCAGAGAAAGCCCAGCAGGGGGCGCTGGGGAGCAAAGGCGCCATCTTGGACAGCTGGCTGGGCCAAGAGGGCTCACTCTGACAGTCATGGGAGACACCCAAGCAGGAATCGTCCAGCTGAGCACAGTCCACCCTCAGCACTGCTGGGCTGAGATGTTCTAAGCTTCTAGATTTGGGGTGATTTGTTATACAATAATAGATAACACCACAAACACAACAAAAACGTTGAAGTTTTTTCTGAAGAAAACTTCGGTCTACAGAGATGTTTACACTGGAAAGCTCACCTTCGCTCCGTGTGTTTGCTGTTGAGTGACTGTGTGAACGTTCCATGTCTGTCGCTAAAGGAGAACTAACACAGGGAAAATGTCTTCCTGCTTCATCTAGTCTTTCACATGTCAGACCGACTGACACAGGAGGTCCAGGATGCAAGCCCACGTGTGCATGCGTGTGCCTGTAGGTGTCGAAGCACTGCCCATGGAGAAAACCAAGACACAGTGCTGCACAGGCTTGTCCTCTGAGCCAGACGCCTTCCTCCTGAGCTCAGCTGTGCCCACTTGCAAACGATCGTCACAACTGTGCTTGCTGACTGCTGACACCTCCACATAGAGGGAGGGTCATGGGACCCTCTGAGTGTCTGTCAAATGCCTGTGGTGGATATCTGACCCTAACTGCACATGGCCTCAGGGAAGAGCTAGGGTCTCTAGGCCCTGAAAAACTAAAGGAGCAGGGCTCCATCTATGCACTACAAGAAAGCCAGTATCCATGCTGGGTAAAGACTTTCTGGCTCATCCTTTGGGGTGAGCACCCACTCTCCTGAAAGTGACCATCATCTATGCTCTGTAAGGAAGCCCAGTGAAACTCAGTGGTTCTCCAGAGTGAACTTGGGTGCAATGATACTTTGGTTGTCGTTGGGACCAAGGGAGGAGGGGCGTTGGGAGTTGCAGCCACATACAGTCTCATCCATCAACAGCAGACACTGGTGACCAGACCAACGTCTCTAAATTCCCTTCTCTTTTAAAGAATCAGCCTCAGAAAAAAGGGTGGGTTCTGGGGCTGAAGCAGGAAAGGGTAGGTGCAGAGGTGAAGTATGCCAGAGGAGCCTGGAGTCTCTTGTTCTGTCACAGAGGAAAAAAAGAAACGTGCTCAAGAGGCCAGCGAGATGGCTCAGTGGGTAAAGGGGCCTGCTGCTAAGTTTGATAACCTGAGTTCAATCCCCAGACTCCGGGGGGGAAGGAGAAAACCGACTCTAACAAGTTCTCCCCTGACCACCACACAAGTGTCATGGCATGTGTATGAACATGCAGAGACACATACAGTAAGGAGGTTAAACTGCACTAAAAATTAAGTGCTTAAAATATGATGGAAACAGTGACTTGCCAGGAAGTGGATTTATCTTACTTTGTGTGTGTGTGTGTGTGTGTGTGTCACAGTAAGGAGATTAAACTGCACTAAAAATTAAGTGCTTAAAATATGATGGAAACAGTGATTTGCCAGGAAGTGGATTTATCTTACTTTGTGTGTGTGTGTGTGTGTGTGTGTGTGTGTGTGTGTGTGTGTGTGTATTGATGCCTGAGGAAGCCAGAAGACGGTGTCAGACCCCTGGAGCTAGAGTTCAGGCCCCTGACATGAATGTTTGGAACCAAACAGAAGAGCAGCAAGTGCTCTTAACGCTGTGCCATCTCTCCAGCCCCACATTCATGCAGGCAAAACACTCACAGGCATAAAATAAAAATACCAGGTGTGGTGACGTCTGCCTTTAATCCCAGTACTTGGGAGGCAGAGCTGGTGGATCTCTGTGAGTTCAAGGCCAGCTTGTTCTACATAGTGAGTTCCAGGCCAAGTGGGGCTGCAGGGAGACCCTGTCTTTAAAAAAAACAAAACCCCAAACCCAAAGGTAAATATAAATAAATAAGTACATAAGTGGATACATGTTGGAATGAAGTCAGGACAGTAGGGACACTGGAGCGCCTGCTAAAATACCACTGTGGTCAGTTTCCTGCCTTCTGCCAGGGGAGGGAGGGAAGTGGCGTCCCCATAGAGATCCAGGCTCTTGCCCAGCTAGAGGTGGCTCCCGGGGCCCTGCACCAGCCCATCCAGGCAGTGGCTGGTGCATGCTGTCTCAGAAACTGTCACACCTCAAGGCAGTACTCACTTGCTCTGGGGCCTGCTTCTCCCATAGTCTTCAGGCCCTGTGTCCCTCTTTGACCCTTCATGGAGGGCTCAGCTGTGGCTGACCAGTGGCACCAGACACAACGGCAGCATCTTACAGTGAGCAGGCAGGTCCTCCCTAGCCTGGCTTGTGAGCTGTTCCATACGCAACACTGCAAAGGCTAATTCCTGGAGTACAGGACTACCGTCCTCAGAGGATGAAATGGAGGCGGGGTGGTGTAGTATGAAAATACACACTAATGAAGTGTTCTCCTCACCCTGGCCAGGGTCACAGGGGTAGAGGAGGGCTGGGGCTGGGGGAGGGCTGGGGAGGGTGGGGGAGGGTTGGGGAGACTAACACATCAAAGTTTCTGACTCACAGAGCCTCTGGGCTTGGTCCCCAAAACTGCCCTTGTGGTTGGTTCAGAGCAAAAGGAGATCTCATAATGTTTGCAGCCCTGGAAAGGGCCACCTTGACCTTTCCATGGCCTAGAATTAACACCCAGAATGCTCCAAAGCACTTTAGAACATCACCTTTCTCCTCGGTGCTGGAAACCTTCGCTGGTCTCTCAGCCAAGGATGCAAGCCCAGCTTTCCAGGGGGGTTGCAGAGGGCCCTACCAAACGGTGCTCTTCCTGTGAGGATGCACACAGGTTGGCAACAAGGAGCATCGCAGAGTCCCAGGAACACTGGAGAGATGGCAAACTGCTCACCCTGCTCTGGTCCCCCAGCTGTTGCTCTTGACACTGGAACAGCAAAGCGGTAAATTAACGAGGTCCAAAGACTCAGGAAAACAACTCAGGAAAACAGCCACTGATTAAGACCAAGAAGCCCCTTTACCTGCACTGGGGCGCTCCCCTGCCCACTGCTTCTCAGGCAAAAAGCTGTGTCTCCTGAAGGCTCAGGAAGCCCACAGAGAGCTGCTCCCTTTAGTTCAGAGGACTCAGACAGCAGAACCCTGTAGGGAGAAGGCGGGTCAGCAAGGCGGAGGGGAGGAGAGTGCAGGAGTCTGCTTCCTGTACTCACAGACCTAGCTGTGGCTCCTGTGTTCTGATTTTGATTTCTCAGGACAAGGTTCAGTCATTACAGGTGAGCGTGCACCCCAGTCATGCTGGCACCGTGCCCTCAAAGACTGACCTCTAAATAGCTACATGTTCCCTGCCGAGGAAGGCATGACCTTGCCAAAAACATTTCCCAACCTATGTTTCAACATATGAGATGGCTCCAGTATTGTTATGTCCCTTTTAAATATGGTTCCTGCTTAAACTTTGTGAGGAACGCCTCAGTTCAGGCCTGTGGTCGGCTTTGAAATAAGAGAGGTGCCAATGGGAGGCCAGTGGCCGTGTAGTGGCCACACTCAGGGAGGCAGAGGGATCCCGGCAGGTCTCCAACTCATCTCAGTGTCAGGATCTGAGAGTCAGAGTGCGGGGTACCCGTGAGTGGAGTTCCCACACTGGGAAGGAGGCTTTCCAAGAGTTGAACTCTTTTCAAAGTCATAAACTAAGGGTGGGCTGATGATCTAGTCCTCCAGCTCACAGCCCTGGGCCCTTCCTGCCCCTGGACTAGAGCTTCCAGAAACCACAAGTATCTAAAACACACCATGAAATGAAGGTTATGGTGACACCTGCTGGGAGGGGCCCCACCCTGAGACCCCAGGAGCCCTGTCAAATGTCCTAACAGATGATGAGTGGGAGGGGCTGGCTTGTCAGATGTGCTCCAAAGAACAGAGTCAAGGAGAGAGTGCTAGAGAGACCAGGCCGGCACAGACTAGACATGTGGCCAGCTTAGAGCAGCCTCTGGCGGCAGGAGCCTTCCTGACACCCGGGGACTCCACTCCCAGCCCCCTCAGCTGACCTGCGGGTCTCAACATGTGGCCTTATCTCTGTAAGGACGGTGCACCCACGTCATGGCTCGCCCTTCGCACTGTGGGAAGACGGTTGGTCACTCTGTGCTGAGTATTTGCATCTGAAGCAGTGGGGGGCGGGGGAGCATGTGGTCAGACACCAGTGCCTCAGATAGAGGCTGCTCCTTGGAACGGTTGGTCACTCTGTGCTGAGTATTTGCATCTGAAGCAGTGGGGGGTGGGGGAGCATGTGGTCAGACACCAGTGCCTCAGATAGAGGCTGCTCCTTGGCCTGGGTCCTGGTCCCTGACTGAGGAAAACATAGGCAAAGCCTCAGCCTGTAGCTGTGGCATTAAGGTGAGTGTAGTGGTAAACCCTGAGAGTTTAGCCCCAGCGTCACTGAGGCCACCCTGTCCCAGAGCCTGCGACCATTCTGCCTTAACTCTGACTTGCTCTGTCCTGGCACCCAACTTCTTTTAACTTCTATCCGCTTTGCATCCTTAAGCAAAACTATGTCTTGATCATTTGTTTTGTGTCTTTACAAGGAGCATTCTAGTAGATTTTGAGGGCACAAGATTGACTCCTATGGTGTCCATGTGTATGCCTGGACAGTCTAATCCCTTAACAGTGATGGCAAATGCGCAAATAATCGAGATAATTCTTATGTGATATCATTCAGCACAGTTCTCTGTTGGCTTTCATCTCTGTGCCTTTTAAAGACATGATATAGTTCTTTCAGTCTGTTCTAGTTTGTTTCTCCATTGCTGTGACAAAACACTCTGATCACTACCAACTTGGGGAGGAACGGGTTTATTTTGTCTTACACCTCCCAGGTCACAGTTCCTCATCAATGAGGGAGCCCAAGGTAGGAACTCAGGGCAGGAACCTGGAGGCAGGAGCTGGAGCACAGGCCATGGAGGAGCACTGCTTACTGGCTTGCTCCCCTGGCCCCTGCTCAACCTGCTTTCTTATACAGTACAGGCCCACCTGCCCAGGGGTGGCACCACCCACAGTGGGCTAGGCCCTCCCACATCACTCAACAATCAAGAAAATTCCCCCACAGACACAGCCACAGACTGGTCCAATAGAGGCAATTCCCCAATTGAGGCTCCCTCCAACCAGGTGTGTCAAGTTGACACTAAAGCTATCCAGCACACAAGCCTCCCCTGAAATGCAGTCCGAGGCATCTACATCCCCTGTTCAAACCAGGGAAGACATCCCATGTAGCTTACCTTTGCAAACGTGTCAACTGTAGGGAGATGGACGTGGAGCTGGGGCTGCTGTGCTCATCTGGTGGGGAGCGGAGGGATGGGCTCCGTCCCAGGACAGGACAGGCCTCGCCTCTGTTTTGGGGACACCAGAGCCTGGCTTCTGCCTACTCTGCTCTCCAGGAGTCCCTGCTGGAGGTGAGTGCTCAGTCCGTCCTGGGGGCCCCTCATTCATGCTACAGAGTCCAGGTTGGTTTGCTCTGGATCCGGAGAACCCCACACACCCGCTTTCCAATCCATTGTTCCCTTCTTCCTGCTTGTCCTAGTGTTTTCCATCTGACTTTTTTTTTAATTTCAGTAAAGCATCTTTATCACTTCCAAGTTTTCTGATTGGATATAATTCTGTCTGTCGCCCTGATCTTTCTGTTTCTGTGAAGACCCATTTGCTCTTTTTAGGCTATTTCAGGGCCTTTCTCTTCCAGACTGAAAACCTCACTTCAGGCCTTTTCCAGATGGCTCTCATTCTCCCTGCTCCATCCAGAGCCCCCACCATGCAGATCCCCCCGGGGACTCCTCCATGTCTCCCACAGGGCTGTGCCCCTCAGAGCGTGGGGCAGCTCACAGTCAGCCCTGTTCGGACGATGCTGCTACCAGGCCAGGCTTCAGGCTGCAGACTGCTTCCTCCTCCACTACCTGGCCTGCTCCACGGGGGAGAGGCTGAGCCCCGGGAGGCTCTCAGCAGGCCTTTCTCTCTGCTTCCCTTTGGGGACCCTCTGCGTGGTCAGCTGGCTGTATGCCCAACCCTGGCTGTTTTGTTCTTCAAGATGCTCACCTCTGAGGTGGCTCTGACTCTCTGTGATCCTCTTCCGGCTCAGCATTTGATCAGGGAAGGGACCCCAGAACTAACACTCGCAAGCATGCTCAGATAGCCAGGCTCTGTTTTCTTAAACCAGCTGGGTCCTGACACGGAGTTCAGCCTGGGAGGCTGGCACCGAAAGCCTTGGAGGGCCCTGCTCGCTGGCATTTCCCTGCAGTGCTCCACTGGCAGCTGTCTCTGTGCCATGCCTGGTGCTCAGAGTCCCTCGCCAGGGGCAAGACACCCCCGCTGAGCACAAGGTCCTCGGGATACCTGCCCCTCCCCTTCTCCCACTCGCCCTGGGCTTATGGTTCATGAAGCAAGTTAAGAGTTTTACAAAAGACAGAGAGAGCCTTTGGCTTCAAGCTGCCCTGGCTTTCTGCCTAGAAACAAAGGAAAACCTCCCTGAGACCAAAAACTTCCAAAGCACTGGGTGATGAGCTAGAAATTGGATGAGGGAGGAAAGCACAGAAAAACAAAGATTAGCATCCCAGAATAGCCCTTCTTTGACATCCTGCAGAGGGGTGGGAGCCAGCAAGCCACCCTCCAAGAGTAGCCACACTTGCTGACAATCTGACAGACAGGCACTGGGTCCTAGGCCCAGGAAGGTGGGGACAGTCTGTGGGCTGCAGCACACCCGGGTCCATCCTGAAGGTTACACCGCAGTACACGGCCGCTCACTGGGACAACTGTGTTCAGGGAGCTGGAGAATAGTGCCCTTACATGTTTACACTGTATAACTCAACAGTGATTTTCACGACTGTCTCTTAAACAAGCTTTAATTATTGAACCCCGTGGAAATACCATGTCGACTACAGCAATCCTGGGTCAGTGCAAGGCTTCCCTCTGTTCCTGTGAGAGGTGGGGCAGGATGACCACGTTCTTGACATGCTGGGTCCTCAGTAGCTCACGGGCCTCCTGAGTGGGCCCTCGGGCCCTGCTGTGTCTGCCTGTGACTGTGATACAGAGAGACTTGTGGGCTCAGTAGCACCACCTCTGAAAGCTTCGGGCGAGCCTAGTGGGTAAAAGGGCCTTAGCAGCTCTAGCATTGAGTTGGAGCTCCTGAGATGACATCTGGTTTAGGCTGGACTCTGAATCCAGTGGTGCTTTCCCTTATGATAAGAGGGGCCACAGAGACACGAGGAAGAGGCCACGTGAAGACAGATGCAGGCTGGAATAGCATGTCTATAAACCGTGCAATGCCAGGGCACCGCAGCCTCCCAAGGATAGGGCAAGGCCTGGCATGGACTCTCCCCTACAGCCTCAGAATGCACCACCACCCTGCCCACCGTGATTGGGACATTTTCCCTCCACATCTAGAAGAGAACATTTTGGTTGTTAATCCTCCCAGCTTGGGACTTACCGCGAGGATACCTCACAAGCCTGCAGACCATAACCAGGAAATGGGCTAGCCTGTGGAAACTCTGGAGAACATATCATAGACATGGCCTGACTGCTCACTAATACACTCCAGTCCTTAGAAACTGGAGATCTGTGAGTGGGACCCAGGAATTCACACCTTTAATTTTGTCACCTGGGGAAGGGGAGCTATGAACAGAGACCAGCTTCTCCCTGGGCAGGACTCTTCCACACCAACACTGCAAATCCAGGGGCTGGTGACTGGTTGGGTTCCAAGGACCATCCAAGTGGGCTCTGAGGACCCAGTTCCACCCAGGGAAGCCTCCCTTTTCCTTTCTGAATGTGAACCAAGACCAGTAAGCAGCTGATTTCCTACAAGGAGTGTCCTGCCCCTTCCCGTCTTCCCTGAGACCTGTGCTATGCCACTGGACACCTTCCTAGAGCCACTAGCCCTGGTCTCTTCAGTGCTCTCAGCTGCGTCCCTCCTGAGAACTGGCTTGCCTCTTAAACACCTGTTTGCTGTCTGCCTTTGCCTAATTCTGGACCCCTTGCCCAGAGCAGGAGTCACCTTGTCCCATGCACTCTCAGAGGAGTGCAGCAGGTGCCCATCCTAGTTTGCTTCCTGTTACTGTGATAAACACCATGACCAAAAAGCAACTTGGGGAGAAAAGGGTTTATTTGGCAG